CCCTTACCGTATCGACTATATCCTTAACAGTTGTTTCTTCCTCATGTACCAGATTCTCATCGATGTTAATAAAGTAACGCGAGTTCGTTATTTACATCACTTTGCTGAGAAGCATTTTTTCGTTTATTATTTAAATTGATAGCGTTTCTGCGATTATAATTCACTGATAAGATAAAAGTCAATCGTTCGACTATTTTGGCAATTCTGTGCTGACGTACTATCAAACTTAATCGAATCTGTAACTAAAGATCAAAAAGCGATTTGATATTTAACCTTCGGCTCAGTATGCACAGGGAAGCAACCCAATAATTGTGATAAGTATTAGTTCCGTAGCTTTAGTAGAATATAAGAGCTCATTCTAAAGGGTGATTATGAAAAAATATCAAGGGCTAAAGTTGAACTCGAAGGAAATTATAGTGCTGCTTAAATAGCTGGTATACTATATTGGGAGAGGTGTCGGATTTGCACTATATCGGGTATATTAATATCCATTATTAATTTGTGTGATGGATCCCAGATTTGCCCTTGCTGTGGATTCCGTTGTACTACCAAGCGGAAATCACGTCACAAATAATGGCCATCCATGATATGTTTAAGAGAAATTGTCTGTTAAATTTCGATAAAACCGTATTTCATGTTTTCAGTAGACAATATAATATTGTGAGAGAAAAGTATTTTTTGCGGTAAGCTTTTTGGCCTTTCTGGAGTAGGTTTAGTTAATAAAAGCTGATACTGAAACTTTTATGCAATACAAGTGTGCGAAAACGTGTCATCTTGTGAAGCCGAGATACATTATAAATTACAGTTTTTTCGCAGATTCTCAACATTTTAACATTGTCGGTCAAATTAAAGAACCACGTTGTCGGTTTACATATCATTTTATTTACATATTTGTTACCTGAAGTAACTTTTCTACATATGATGGCATATAAATCGTAGCATCATTATCTCCTGTCATCACCGTATATGAATGTTGTGTAAAATATCGATCTATCCAATAAATACAGCAACAACACTGATAGATTTATTATGATTAGGAGAGTATTTATATGATAAAATTTGTCCTTCCAATCTTAAAAATAAAACAAACCTTTGTACGTAAACTCGGTTTGTAATAACAATGATACCTACATGTTGGAATGGCCAGCCGTTTTCGGGTGTTTTGTAACGTATTCGAAAATAAGCATACTGTTAGAAATAGGCTTAAGTTTTACCCATTATTTGTAAGTCACAGAGTCAGTCATGACCAAAAACGTGCAGACGTCGCAGTAACGCAAAAAAAGGATAAATCAATTATGGTTTTTAACTAAAACGTATCGAGATCCGTGTTGTGCAAGCATTCCTTTTTGGATAACAAGCATGGCTTTTTTTTTTAAAACAGAAAAACTTAATTTTATTAAAACGTTTGTGAAAATTGTAACAATGGCAGGTAGCAAACAAAACACAAATTCTTGTAATAAACAAACAAGTTACGTAAAGCAAAATGTACATAAATCCACGCGTAATAACGCTCAAGATACTTTGCATTGCAATGTTGGCCTTTAACCTTTTATAAATTAATATCGAATATTTACTGTATGTAATGTAATATATACTGTGTTTAATATATTTAAAAAAGCGCAATATTAATGTTACGCCTTGTAAAAACGATATGTGGAAGGGGTGGGGGGCTTGGTGCCTTTACAATCAAATAACAATATGGAATCACATGCGCGATAATTATGACAATGGTTCAGCGACGATCAGGAGTTATTTTAATATTGCAACTTCCTGTTTTAGACATTTTTCCTGCAGTTGGATTAATATATCTATGGTGATAAGTACAAAGAATTTGCAGCCATGTTTAGTGGAGAGAGATCCATCACCTGAGATGAAATGTGTCACAAAAATTCGGGAAAATTTTATTGCGATCCATATCGGGTATTTTACATGAATTTTTTTTTTTTAATTTTTGTCTAATGATGATTATAATACACGACACTATACTAATGCATAAACCCACTTTGTTGTATAAACTTATATTAAAATTTCTTATAAAAACTGGGCTATAACGAATCATGTGGTCAATATTAGATCACATGACATCAAACCCAGTTCCAGGGTAAACTTGACTACTTAACTTTGTTACTCAACGCATATACAGGCTTAAATTACATGTATGGATTAAAGACCCCTAACTAACATATATAAAAAAAAGGAAAACGTCTTATCGGCTAAACATCAAAAAAAAAAAAAAGGCGTAATGGAATGGTCCGGGAAAATAAACACAAAAGGTAATGATTAAAATTATATGGAATAATATGGATGAAAATCGATTGATATATTTTGTTGGATAAAATATGTACAATATAGTCCTGCATCGTTCTCGAACCATGTGTCTGTGGGTACATTATCATTTATATAAAAGTCGCCGCTAATGTCCCTGATATACAAGCCTTCGTTGGTCTCCAACTGTAAATCGGTATACTGTTCAACGTCCGGTTCCTTCACTTGATACAAACATTCGCTCTCGTTGTTGATGTTGATGTTGTTTTTGTTGTCGGAGTCATCGTCGTCGTAATAAAATGTGTATTGATCGTCATTAAATATGCTTTTTTCGCACACATTGTCGTTACTGCTGCTACTACTATGATCCATAAACGTATCTTGGTTTAAATTTTTGAACAATGCTTTAGATCTTCTAGGACGTCTGGCCCGCTTGGATTTTCTTGGCCGGTAAGTATAATCAGGATACATAATATTATGTCGATGTAGAGCCAATTTAGAGAGCACGCGAAAATACTGCTTGACAGCGGTCGGTTGGTTTTTCCATTGTACGCCGGCAATTGCAGAGATCTCATGAAGAGTGTACATTACATCGGGATGTTGAGCGCGCAATTGACATTCGAAATCTTTGCGAAAGAGAACCCATGAATTTTGAGGACGTGGCGGAAGATCTTGCTTGAAACGAGTTCGTCGTTGTTTCGGAATGGGATTTAAAAGAGTGTCAACAGAAAGAGTAAGAACGTAGGGTGGGGCAGTTAAGAGACTCAATTCGGACTGAGTAAGACAGCTAGTATAACAGGTGATTTGGGATAACGAATTATTGTGGAGGAATTGGTCATTAGAAAATCCAACATTTGAAACCGCTGTCGTTAGAGCGTTGCAGGTAGACATGAATGTAGTGATATCAAGTTGACTGAAGGACGATGAATGCAGTTTTGTAAGGGTATGATATTAAATCGTTATGATCTGATCTTTGAAAGATTAAATGAATGAGGGGGCAAGTAGAAACGTCGGCAGGTATATATAGAGTTTAATAAATATACGGGATAATTTACAAACAATACTATTTGGTATAGTACGGTTGGTTTCGTAAACCGGAAGAAATTATAACAATGTATCACAATTGTTGTGTTACACACGGGGGAGAAGGTTTATGCGATATTCAAAGCCGGATTAGTAATTAATAGTTTTTTTCATTGTTTTCAAAGGTCAATGTCACAAACCTTTACCAATTGAACATTTGAAGATGCTGCACCAAAAGAAATAATCTTGGACTGAATGGGAAAAAAGTGTGGTTTTCATTTTCAATTATGAATCTCAAGCCTTTTTCCTCCTCCGACTTGATGATGTCAGTCAATTGAGTTTCATTGTTATGATTATCACACATGATGATCCTGATGTGCGATGAGAAAACAAACCACCCAAAGAAGTAAAAAGTAAAAAACTGCTGATTTTCAAAGTACCAAAGGAAGAGACTTGTCGCCAATTTACTAAATATATCATCACCCAATTGCTGTCATTTATGTAAATTGTGTCGCCAATCAGATTATGGTCTTTTGTGCATCCAGTGGGCGAAGTCTTGTTTGTTACAAAAATGAGTTGATTGTCTTTGTTCATGTATTATTCCTGTCAAACTGGAAAAATCAACAGCCGGATGAAAATATACACCAAAAGGCGACACAGTCATACCGTCAAACTGGTTCGCATGGAAATAATTAGACATTGGCCGCGGCTTTGTTTACTTTCGTTCACAGCGGATTGCTCCCCTAAGGGCATGTTTATGCATGTTTCCTGATTAG